GGGTAATTTTGAACTACGCTTGGGGGACCGGACCCACCTAACCAGAAGACAGGCCGCAACTGCCAACGCAGACATGGCCTAACCAGGACAAGGCATTGGTCGCGATACGTATGGTATGGCTAGCTAGGTACATACAGCAGAGGTACAGCAGAGGTACAGCAGAGGTACAGTAGAGTACAGCAGAGTCCATGGTAGGTAGAGAGTACAGTATACAGTACATACGGGTGGAAGCATGGGTCGCCGCGCAAAAAGCAAATGTGGCTGGCTCGCCTGCAAAGAGTCATAGACGCACACGCACCACACAAAATCTACAAAATGGCTGGGCAGGCTCTCTTCTCCTCATCTCTCATCTACCGTACCGTACCGTACTACCCATCGCCATGTAGGCTGATGGACAACGCCTCCCAGCAACCTGGGCGACGGTTGGGTGGGAGGTGAATGGAGCACGGCTGCAGACCTGCTTCTTCTGCTGTGGTGGCACTGCTGAGTTGATTCAGCGAGGCAAGTGGGCCCCCCTCATCGGGGAAGAGGGCCCGCGGGCGTGCGGCGTCTTTTTGGCCTGGTTTAGCTTCTGGCTTCTGGCTTTGCTTCTGGCGCGGAGCCAGCTGTGTTGTTACCTACCTACCTACCAACCAACCAACCAACCCTTATCCATGTGCAGACAGACGCGGCACGACGAGTCAATGACCAGTCATGGCAACGAGAGGGAGATCTCGCGCGCTGACGCCCGTCTCATCTCAGCCCAGCCAGCCTGGGTCAGAGTGGCCTGTTGATGTGTACACTGTGCACTTGTGTGTGTGCGTGGAAGAGAGAGAACAAGAGAGGGTGTGTGTGTGTGTGTGTGTGTGAGATCTTTTAGGCGTGGGCGGACAGGATACCTACCTTTTTGCCATCAATAATAACAAAACGCCCCCTGGTTACGGTAGGTATCAACTGCAAATACCACACACACACACTACACACCACAACTGGGCACACTTCTCACCACCCACTCACACCCACCCACACTCAACTTCCCACCAAAGTGCCACCACACTGTAGACACACACACACACCCCAGCAGCGGCCGTTGGCCCACTCGGCCTTGCGCTAGCTTCAGGTACGGGCTTCTAGGATGCTGGCTTGGGCCACAACCCAGGGGATAACCTCTCTCGTGGAATCAGCTCCGCAGATCACCCTGGCTCCCTGTCTCTGGCCGCACACACAGTAATTTCTGCCACAAGCAGGCCCGAACTGGGCGACAGGGAGCTAGTTGAAACAGCCCCGAAGGTCCCGTCTGCTCCCGGCACGTCATGTAGTCTGCGCTTTGCTGTCCTGACGAGCGCACTGTCGTCTCATTTCATTTGTCTCGTCCCAGGCCAAGGCCACGCGCAACTCGTCAGGGCCCCTGATTCTACTAGATATAGCTGTCAAAGGGCGCCCTTCTTCCGAATTTCCTATTTCCATCCTCACTCCCTTCGAGCTGTCCACTCATTCCTCTCCACCATTGCACTGCCTGGCCAGTCCATTGGAACACGACGCTATTTAATTTACATCGCCAAACCCCGCCGTCACCTCTCCGTTGTAGGCCCAGATCCGAATGCGCATCGAGCAGGGTA